CAATGAGGCGAATCATATCTACGCAGTGAAAGAAATTTTAAGTTCCTTTGAAATTTATTTCAATATGAGTGATTGTGTGATGCCTTATATATATATTAAAAAAATAGTACTATGACGCTTTATGAATAATTTTCAAAAAGTAAAAACTCGTCGAGAAAAGTTATAATATTTTAATATATTGTGTTTTATTGATATAAGTAGAATCTTTTTTTTTTAATATAGCATCTATGTTATATTTGTTTATTTATTCACTTTTTAAAATTGTCGACACCGCTTACGAAAAATTCTGCGTACGCTCCTGCGGCTCCATGCTTTAATCGTAGTACTATATAATAATGGGACTTGACTTAAGTTTTTTGAGGGGTTTAGGCGCTTTTTACAATGTTGAAATTAAGAAAATGTCCTTTTTAGATCTTTTACATGTAAAAAAATATCTCATGTGTAAAAATAAATTTCTCGTGTTTAAAAAAAGAGATAGGGTCACTATACAAAACATATACAAAAATAAACTGTCATTATACAATAAATAAACTAAATAAAATTTCACTATATAAAACATATACTAAATAGAATGCCACTACACAATTTATATACAATAGACTGTAACTATACAAAATATATACAAAATAAACTGTCATTATACAAAAAATATACTAAAATATACAAAATAGATTATCACTATACAAAAATTATACAAAATAGACTATTATTATACAATTTATAAACAATAGACTGTCACTATACAAAAAATATACAAAAATAGACTATCACTATAAAATTTTTATACAATAGATGTACAGAAATAGACTTTCATTATACAGAAAATATACAAAATAAACTGTCGCTATACAAAATATATACAAAATGGACTGTCATTATACAAAAATATACTAAATAAATTGTCACTATATAATTTATATACAATAGATTGTCACTATACAAATTATATACAAAATAGACTGTCACTATAAAAACTATATACAAAATAGACTGTCACTATACAAAAATATACTAAATAAACTGTCACTATTCAATTTATACACAATATATTGTCACTATACAAATCATATACAAAATAGACTGTCAATATACAAATTATATACTAAATAGACTGTCACTATATAAAAAATATATAAAATATACCGTCACTATACAAAAATTATACAAAATAGACCGTGGCAAAAAAAGGTTGCTCTATTGCGCCAGGTAGGGGTCGAACCTGCGACATTCTGCTTACAAAACGGCATTCTATCCACTGAGCTACAAGCACTTATGTTGTCATGCTCATTCATTTCGGGCTACTAAATGCAATATCTTTGGGCCGAAGGGCCATTTCCTGTAAGTGGCCCAAAACATGGGCTATTAAAATTTTGAGGGGCTATAAAGGGTAGTTTTCTCTTCATTTTTTGATACCAAGGAAAAGGTCTCATTTTCCGTAGAGTTTAAGTTGTATGAATCGATTTTGTGATTATGTTGAAGAATTATTTTCCTCCTTTGAGTTCTCGAGTGAAAGGGGCTTAATGGTGCACAAAATATTTATACAATTAGGTCACTTTAAGACGATTGTTGGTAAATCTCAATGATAATTTATAAATTAATTGGTAACTGTAAGTAGAAATAATAACTAACCTATTATCATAAGTTAATACTCACTAATCGTATAAACAAAACTTTACATTAATGTATGTAACTTAAACTCTTTCTATATATACAGTCAGACCACTCTATAACGGCATCCCTATATAACAACACTTCACTATAAAAGCCAAGCTTTTTCGGAATCAATTTTTATATTATGTTATAATATATATTTTATATAACAACACTTCGTCATTCAAAAATATTCGGAACAAACGAAGCTGTTATAGAGAGGTTTGACCGTAAATAAAGAGAAGTTAGATAACCTTTCCCCAAAGATTCTCCCGGCAAATATGCTTTTTCGACAGAAATGCTTCTACCCTATTCTTCTAAGTCGGTATTCTTTTTTATGTTCTTTCTACTCTAAGTTATGAAATTAATTTTTGTGTCCAAAAACACAGGTAAACTTAATCAAAGAGTATTACAGAGAGGCAAACCAAGCGGCTGATTCAATGGCGAAGAACGGAAGCAGCTTAACAACTTTTGGAAGCTTAACAACTTATCTTAGTCCTACTACTTTTGCTATTTCTATTTTGGAAAGGGACAAGCTAGGAACTATGTGGCCTAAAATAATTCTCACTTGTAATGTAATATGTAATGACTCTTAGTATGTGTTTTAATATATGTCTTAATTACCAAAAAAAAAAAAAAAAAAGAGTATTCATAGTGTTCGCAGTTTCATTTCACATTTCTTATAATTTAAATCAAGGTCGTAGCATCTAAATGAAACATGAATATATGAAAGTTCCTCTAGGTTTCCAACAGCTTGACAGTGGACCTTGTCAGTAGTCTTATGGGGCCAATTTTATGAAGAAGCGTTTCGATTATATTCCACAAAAATATCTAGGTCAAGGCGGCTCCTTATTTGGCTAATAAGAGGTACAACTCATTTTTTCTAACCCAAATACAAAGTCATTAATTGCCTATGTATTTCTGACTTTTTCCTTATCTACTTTGTCTAGTCCACTTGCTCATATCCATTTGTCGATTTGTCATTTCACATTATTAATATATCCGTACAACTACATTTAATTGATTTCTAAAAAAAAGACATGAAAAAACACTTGAACTAAGTGACACTTGAGAAAAAGTTATTCATTTTTCTTATGTTTTCTTCATGAAATAACTTTCTCAAATGCGAATGGAATCTTGATCCAATTCAAGGTCTTCTGATCAGGTTATCATTTTTGTTGATCAACATATGTGTTGGAGTTCTCCTTACTAATTAAGTAACTTGTTAGAGGGTAAAAATCTACACTATATATAGGGGCAGAAACACCCTTTACATAATGCGATACCGATTTGCAAACATCTTCTTCATATGTGTATCTAAATGATTTTTTTTTTAAAAAAAAAACTACTCATGTATATATGTTAATAATCAGGGGCGGATTCATGTAGAGGGTTGGGGGTGGTACCCCACCCGGTCGCTCGGATAAAATTTCATGTGTGTTTATATATATATTGATATGTTATAAAGAAATTTATATATATTAAAAGGATGGCAAACTAATATGTTGGCTCTAGGTGCCATGGTTCAAAGCCAGCACTCCACAACTAGATGAAGGATCGAATCCCTGCTTTTCCCTTTTCTTACTTTACTTTCTTCTTCTTTTCTTAATTTCTTGTATTTCTTCATCTTTTAATTTCCTACAAACATTTTATTATTTATTCAATAATATATTTGCTTCTTTTTCTTTGTGTAAATCTTCAATATTTTATTTGAATGTGATCTTTCTATTTTCCCTTTTTATCTATACAATTATATTGTTTTCATAATTTCTAAAATCTTTTATAATGATGGCATCAATAGACATATAAGGGAAGTATTTACTAATTTAAAATTTTATTTTAGTTTCATGCATCTAATCACATCATTCAATAAAGCTAGAGAATTAGATTGAATTGGACAAAATTTATTCGGTTTAATGGTCATATGTTTATTTATGCACCAAAAATATTGTAAATAAAACAGAATTAATTCAAAATAGATCGAACCGAACAAAATTAGATCAAAATGGATCAAACCAATAAAATGTACACCCTAATTCAATCTCCGGCCAACGATAGATTTGCATTAAAAAGTGGCACCCATAACCATCAAATTCTGGATTCGCCTCTAATAATAATAGGTCAACACGCTTTAAAACACGTACAAATTAGATATTAATTTGAGACGAGAAGTAAAAGCTTAAAATCAACTTAATATTATACTTATAGCGTGTTTGGTCGTGCCTCTAAAATCAGATTATTTTTGAAGAGCACTTTTAAAAGCGTACTTTTGATGAGATACATTTTGTGTTTGGTTAATCAATTAGGAATGCACTTCTGAGCAACAATTAGTATTTAGCCAATCTTGTAAAATTGCTTTTAAGTGTATTTTTCTCAAAAGCGCTTTTGAAAAAACTACTTTTGAGAAGAATCTACTGTTTTTTTGCTCTCCAAAATCGCTTTTGCTTATATTCAAAAACACTTTTTTTATTTTTTTACTTTTAAAAGCTTGACCAAATACCGTACTTTAGAAAAAAGTACTTTTGCTCGAAAAAACACTTATGGGCAAAAGAAGCACGACCAAATAGATTATTAATAGTCTGTTTGGTCGTGCTTCTAAAATCAGTTTATTTTGAAAGTACTTTCTCAAAAGTGCTTTGAAAAAAATACTTCTGAGAAGCAATTTGTGTTTGACTAATTAATTTTAAAAGTAATTTTGAGCACTAATTAGTATTTGACCAAATTTTTAAAAAGTATTTCTAAGTATATTTTTGTCAAAAGTGATTTTTGAAAGAGTGTTTTCGGGCCGGGGAAAAGTACTTTTTTCTTCCGCTCATACTCAAAAATACTTTTTTCCCTTTCTAATAACTTGGCCAAACACCTTAACTTTAGAAAAACAAATTTGGTCTAGAACGCCCTTTTGGCAAAAAAAAAAAACACGTCCAAAGAGGTTATAAACCCACTTACAAATCGTAATTTGAAAATATATAATGTGGTCGACACTGCTTTATCTAATATTCTTGCATTTGCCACTTGTTGTAAATATATCTTCCTATTAGTTGTCTAAAAAAATACAAATTTCTTATATACTGTTTGTTTGTTGGATATTCTTATATGTATACTCTGAAGCGTTCTTCATATCATAATTAAATTAGAAAAAGTCATATGTCACTATCTCACAATATATTATATTCAAATTTCAAACACGGACATGTAGAAAATTTAAACTTCAAATTAAAGTATAACACACAACGTTCTAATAAACTGTTATATACACGCATCATACACGGTCCCCTCACTCCTTTTCCATCCTCTTAATTCCTTTCTCTTTTTCTTCCACCATTCTTTTCCAACCCCAAAACCTCAAAACAATGAGCAGAAAAAGAAAACTCAGAGACCTTATGGGAATTTTCAAAGACAAAGCTTCACTTATCAAAGCCAACTTATCAACCAAACGCGGCGTTTCATCAATTCAGGTCGCCGTCATAAGCGCCACCACCCACGCCTCCGCATCTCCGCCACATGACCACCGCATCTCCGCCATCGTCTCCGCCGGCGACCACTCACTCCCTGCTATATATGCATGCATCGAAGCTATCATGGACCGCCTTCACCGCACTCACAATCCATACGTTGCCCTAAAATGCCTCTTCGTATTCCATAACATCATGGCTAAAGGTTCACTTCTTTACAAAGATCATATATCCTTTTCTCCTTCGTCCGGTGGTCATAATTCTCTAAATCTTTCTGGGTTTTACGATAAATCTGATATGGAAACACGAGAACTCTCGTCGTGGGTACGATGGTACGCTAATGTTTTGGAACGTAACATGATAACGTCTAGGGCTTTGGGTTCTTATATTTCTCCTTCCTCAAGATTAACGATAAACTTCGATAAAATTGGGGATAAAAAAGGAAATACTGGGTTTTCGTCCAAATCAGATTTTGTAACAGAAATGGAATCTTTGGTGTGTATGGTAGAGGGGATTTGTGAAACGCCAGAGTCACAATATTTCCAGAAAAATGACCTAGTGCATGAGATAATGATATTAGTTGCTGAAGATTATCGTTCAACTCAGTACCATATGATGATCAGACTCGTTGAGTTAGGGGACCGAGTTTCAAGATTGAAATACCTGGATTTGTGTGAGTTGATATTGTCTTTGAAGAGACTTGAGGGATGCAGGAAAAAGTTGAATGAATTGTTTATAAGAAGAAAGAACGATCTTTTTTGGGAAATGGTAAGTGAAAAGAAAATGGAGATGGAGAAATTGAAATATGAAAGGGAAAGACAAAGTTTTCTACTATGGAATGTAGATGAAAAGTTAACTCGATCGGTCATCCCAAATTAAAAGTTGCAGGAAATAATCAACAACTTTTGTTTGCTGCACCATACAAGTCAATGGTGAAAGTGACTTTTTGGGCTTTTGCGTCTGTTTAGAGGCCCAATTTTGGCACTTTGCAATTGGAAGCCTACAATAGTTTTCTGTCTTTACAATAATTTTGTATATATGGTTTTCATTTGAAAAAGGGCTCATTTTGTGTAAATCATCGCAACTCTGTTGTTTTTGTTTTACACGAGTTTTGTCAATGCTCCAGCAGGACTGTGAATAAAAATAAGTAGATCCAACTGTTTAATTTCTTGTTCCAATAATTATTATGGGAAATTACCAGCTATGTCCATTTATAAGTAGCTCATTACAAAAATTGGCCAATTGATAAAATATTATAAATATTAGCCAATTAGTTACTTTTAGCAAAAAATATCAAATTTTTGCTTTGTTTTGAGTGGGTGTTATATTAGAATAGATTGGGCACAACTTAAGGAGCTTGAATCTCAGTTTTGGAATGATTTGGTGAAGTTTTGAGGTGGTTTGAATTGAAAATTCGAAATAAAAGCTGAACATGAAAAAAAATGATATGTGTATCACACTGTGTATCATTTGTGTATCACATATGTATCATATTTGTATCAATTGTGTATCACATGTATATCCATGTATACCTGTGTGTGTGATACATGCATGATACATGTTTGATACATGTGTCACAGAAGACTTTTATGAACTCGATTTAATTACGAATTTTGATACAAAACCGGTCCAAATCACCTCCAATCTTCCTCAAATTTTATATATTGACTTATCTATATATTTTCAATGAATTTCAACTATACCCATTAAAAAAGTTCCTTTTTTGTTTAGATTTTTGGAATATTGTATAGATTTTTGTATTTCATCACCTTATTTGCTATCCCGTCCATAAAATTTCCTTTCCGTCTTGTATCTAATGTTGCTAATGACGCTTAAAATATGGAAGGTGATTTTTGCATGTGATTCTTTGAGAGAGAAAACCCTATTATTTGGTTTTTCAATTTTTGTTGGCTACTTTTGGTAAGTCTATGACTAATGGCTAGAGGTTGATAAGTCGAGATTTATTTGGACATTTGTGTAAGTTTCCCTAATATTATTTCAGTTTTACTGATAGAAATCCATTAACTGAGTGTTCGAGCTGGATATATAGGTAATGCGTCCATATGGTCTTTCACCCTTATTAGTGTAGCACCCGCATTAATTTCCTATAAGCCTAAAATTGAACACCAGAAATACTCCCTCTATCCCAAAAAAAATATATTTTTCGGCTTTTGAAAGTTAAACAAGTTGTTTTTTTACCATAATCTTTTATACCTTTTAAATATTTAAAATTATTAATTATTGTGATTTATATTACTTTTTATATAGTTTTTAAATATATAAATTTTATTAAAATAACCTAAATATTCTATGTAATTCAAATTCATGATTAAAGTTAAAGAGTTTGACTCTCGAAAGCCAAAATATCTTTTTGGGACGGAGGGAATAATAGAGAATATTGTCTAATAATGTGAAAACTACATTATCGACTTAGAATGACTAAGTAAATCAGGCCTATAAGATTTACTAATATTATTTACCTAATGATCCATCAAATTAAAGGAGTAATTTATCGATCAAGGGTACTGAACTTTTTAACTGCATTATCTATATCTATATCTATCTATATTATTATAAAAGGATGAGATAAAATGTTGGCTTACAAAAATAACCTTTTAATATTAAGCATAATAACTCATAATAAAAGGACATAATTGGAATTCTAGATATTAGCCTTGCAATTCTATTAGTTTTAGGACGTAATACTATACATTAGAAATCCTACATGATTACCTTTAGGAATCCTATTAGTATAATTATTTTCGGGCATGGATATTAGCCTCGTAATCTTATTACTTTTAGGATATACTTGTTGACATAAACTTTAATTTTATACCAGGATCTTGAACATCATGATAATCTGTCACGACCCCAGTTCACCCACCGTGAACATGTCGTGATGGCGCCTAGCCTCTACAACTAGGCAAGCCTAACAATGCGGAAACATAACTAACTTGCGGAATAATAGTCAAAACTAAACAGTTTAAAGGAGAAACAGTATATAAAATGCCGCTCGGCATAAACAACTCCACATCATAACATCCTACATCACTATCCCAAAACCCGAAAACTCACGGGAACACAAGCTAAAAAGGGGTACAGTAAAGTGCTCTAATCTCCAGAAACATCTACATCAATAGTACGGTAGAAGGGCTAACATTACAGATAGAGGAAAGAAGGAGACTCTTCGGTCTGCGGATGCGGCATATATACCTCGAAGTCTCCGAAATACTCCCTGCCTCAAGGGTGGTAAGTCCGTGCAACAGTACCTGGATCTGCACATGAAAAACATGCGCAGAAAGGGCATGAGTACACCACAACGGTACTCAATAAGTGCCAAGCCTAAGCTCGGTTGGGTAGTGACGAGTAAGGTTTGGGCCCTACTGAGGTTAAATAAGATACATGTTTAACAGTGTGAAATGACAGTTTAATTAAATAACACATGCTATAAAGGACAACAACAACTATTACAAGGCAAGCAAGACACAGTGAAAGAACATAACTCAGTCCCGAGATAACAGCCGGGGATCTCCCAGGATACCGTCCTGTAGTCCCCAAATATAAATATCATGTCCAGTGAATCTCCCGGGTGCAGTCCCGTAGTCCAACTCATAAATGTGCAGGGGGGATCTCCCGGGAATATAACTTCCGTAGTCC